CCCCCAAAACCCACAAAGACATGGACACTAAACAACATGATGCTAAATAACTCCTGGGTTAATGATGACATCAAAATAGAGATCAAAAGATACCTGGAAACAAATGAAAATAAAGAAACATCTTACCAAAATCTCTGGGATGCCTTAAAAGCTGTAATAAGAGGGGAATTTATATCCCTACAAACACACATGAGGAAAATGGAAGGAACAGAAATTGACAACCTAACAAGCCACCTAAAGAAGCTGGAAAAGCAAGACCACAAAAACCCTAATTTCAGAAGAAGAATCCAGATCACCAAAATAAAAGCCTAAATCCAGGACATAGAAGACAAAAAGATAATACAAAAAATCAATGAAACAAAAAGCTGGTTCTTCGAAAGGGTAAACAAGATTGATGGTCCCCTAGCTAGACTGACCAAGAAAAAACGAGAAAAAAACCAAATAAGCATAATCAGAAACACAAAAGATGAAGTCACATCTGACCCTGAAGAAATACAAAAGATCATTAGAGACTACTACGTACACTTGTATGGAAACAAACTTGAAAACCAGAAGGAAATGGAAGACTTTCTGACATCACACAACCTACCTAGGTTGGAACAAGAAGAAATTGAGACCCTAAATAAACCAATAACAATCAAGGAAATCGACCACGTAATAAGAAAACTTCCTACAAAAAAAAGCCCTGGTCCAGATGGCTTTCCAGCAGAATTCTACAAGACATTTAAGGAGGAGCTGATACCAATCCTACTGAAGGTATTCCAGGCGATTGAAAAAGATGGAACTCTCCCCAAATCATTTTACGAAGCCAACATCACATTGATACCCAAACCAGGTAAAGATCCAACAAAGAAAGAGAACTACAGGCCAATATCTTTGATGAACATAGATGCTAAAATTCTCAACAAGATCCTAGCAAACCGGATTCAGCAATACATCTCAAAAATCATCCATCATGACCAAGTAGGCTTCATTCCTGGCATGCAAGGCTGGTTCAATATTCGTAAAACCATAAATGTAATTAAATACATCAACAGATGTCAAAACAAAAACCACATGATCATATCACTGGA